TAAAAATAAAAATAGCCTGATTTAAATTTTTTAATAAACATAATATAATGACAGGGCTACTTTATATAAATCACTACACTTGAAGGCTCTCATCGCTTTGAAAGGTTATATGTTTCTAAAGGCATGCTTTTCAAGTAGCTGCTGCCACTTGCGATGGTAGTCTTAGTGTTGTGGAAAATGCATAAACTTTTGCCATATTGGTGGCTGCTGTGATCTTGTCTCATAGATGAGATCTCAGGCAAGTTTTGTCTTCTTACAATGGAAAAGAGTCCTCTGGAACAGCTGGAGTGCTGACAGGTAGAGGGTCACCTATGTGGCACTGCAGCAGGTAGAATATCTTGATTGTCAGAATCAACTAGTACTGCTGTATGAAATAGTCAACTATGAGCAGCATGTTCATTGAACGGCAATACAAAGATGATTACTGTATTAATGTAAATAATATAAAATTCTTATTGTAATTTAGATTGTCTTCATAGTCAAGTAAAGCAGAGAAATAAATTTTAAAAAACTTATCTGGATAATTAAAATCAATAAATTTGATAAAGAAAACATATTTTCAACAATTTGCCTTACACTGTTTTTTTTTTAAAAATTGATTCTATTTTAAATCTATCTTAAGCAGAAAATTCATCAAAACCATTGTCTTAACTTCAGAATCCATGAACTCCATTTTTACGTATTCTTTCCATTCCATTTAGTAGCTAGTCATTAAAGTGTCTAAAAAATGAAATAAGTTCTAATAATAATATTGAAAAATATTAGGATAACTGCGCTGTTCAGTGTATTAGAGTTCAAATGCATGGGAATGGCTATACCAAACCCACCGATTCACTCTACCTAGTAATTGGCACAGCACAGAAGCTAATCGAAACCAGAAATGGGGCTAAACTAGCTTTGATCTAGGACAGCAGCTGGACATGGGTTATTCTTTTCCTGAAAGTGCTGGAAAAACAAATTCAGAACCTTGCTCTGACTCCCAATCCATTTCCTGCCACACAATGACACAAAGATGACTCTCCAATCACGTTTGGTGACAGAGTTTGAAAGAGTGCTATTCTCTCGCTGCTGGTTGAGCAAAATGAGGGACACCCATCTCAGGGTGTGTTTCATATCAAAGCCTCGTCACCCTCAAGAGACAACTAACTGCCTCTCATCCTTAATGGGGAACATAGCAATTATTACATGCATTGTGCCATTCACTAAGTAAGAAATGTCCTCAGCAGAAAAGGCTGACACTTACCCACTAGCAGACAGACCTTTCATTCTCACGTTGGAAAGTACAGGTTCTGAATGGAAAAAGGATTTAAACCACCAGGTGGATTCTGCCACTTCAGGTAACTCTTTCAAATAAAATTCACAATACTCCTCTGTCGAACAAATGCAAGAGAGTAAAAACAAAGGGAAATAATGAGAGTGACACTGATAAGAAATATACTAGGTACCTTGATGGGATTTGTCCTCATCTATGAAGTTAACAGAATCAGAGCCACTTAGAGAAGTCACTGAAGAAACACTGGACTCTGCAGGAAACAAAGGATAATAAACAAACGAGTAACTGGCAAACAAACAAGCATGCACACATCATTTATATGCAAACTCTCACGCGGCATGGTTTGAAGTAATTTACTCCTGGTCTGTGAATTCATGAATTGAAAAATCAACCAAATTATCAATCACTAAAAATCTTCCATAGGCCGGGCGCGGTGGCTCACGCCTGTAATCCTAGCACTCTGGGAAGCTGAGGCGGGAGGATTGTTTGAGCTCAGGAGTTCGAAACCAGCCTGAGCAAGAGCGAGACCCCGTCTCTACTAAAATCTGAAAGAAATTAATTGGTGTGGTGGCGTTCGCCTGTAGTCCCAGCTACTTGGGAGGCTGAGGCAGGAGGATCGCTTGAGCCCAGGAGTTGGAGGTTGCTGTGAGCTAGGATGACGCCACGGCACTCTAGCCCGGGCAACACAGTGAGACTCTGTCTCAAAAAAAAAAAAAAAAAAAAATCTTCCATAATAAGTAACGCTGCATTTTCTGCTAATAAGGTATATTCATTTCCATGGTGGACAACTCTCTCTCTTTCTTTCTCTCCGCATAGACAGAGATGCACAATTTAAAATATATTATAAATGTTGTCAACTTCAAAAACTTAGAAAGTACAGAATCGAGAATGGATATTATTGTCCTATATTAGAAATATTACATATGTAGATATTTAAAATCCTACAAAAGTTATCAAATTTAGAAATTAAGTAAGTATTTTATAAGAATAAAACATTTCATTTGTCTTTTTAGACTTGTATTTTAAGCCTATAAGTCTTTTAAAAGAGCAGAATATACAAATAATTTCTGGTGATAAAATAACAAGTAAATGGGCATTTTTAAAGTTTTTGTAAGAAGAATAAATCAACAGATGTTTCTAACTGCTACAACCAACCCTTCAGATAAGAATTTTTTTACCATTTATTGGCATGGATACTTTCAGTCCATGCTAATTTGGTTCTGAAATGCTCATTTTATTTTACGAAATATCTCAATCTTATTTAAGAAGCTACAATTTTATATTCAGCTATGAATATGCACAGGTGGACAAATTAATACAACTAAAACTGGCTAGATATAGATGCTGACTTATTATCCATAGTAGAGAATGAAAATTATAAAATCTTTAAAGCAGAATCTTGCTACCCTTTCTTTTCTAAGGAATTGAATAATATTTTATTTATGAAAAAATATCAGTTTTTAATGTATCCTATGAAATGCAAGGTACATTAAGTTAATATATAATTAGGAAACACGAGCTTATTTTCATGTGCGAACGGCCTCACTAATATAACGTAGCTCGAGCAGAGAGCTCAGCTGACGGCACTGGTTCAGACAGGTCTCTGACAGCTGTTGTTCCTGTTTCCTCCACTGGCACTAAGAGTTGCCAGTTGTCTGCCTTAAGTTCTGAACATAAGATGACACATAGGTCAACAAAGTCCCCGAAACATCACCTCAAATCATATTATCTAAGGATATTCCCCACTGACACAGCAACTTACTTCGATAATACTGATTTTTGGCCAGAAGGCAACCGATGGAAGGTACCGACGCCATGGCTTTACCGGTGACAAAGAGCCTGCAAGGCCGTGAGTGGCTGTCTGAGAAAAGAGGCATTGATATTAACAACACGGGCGTTCCTTTTCCTTGTCCATGCACCTATTGCAAAGCAACATCATTTACCATGTAATAAACATCTGATAAAGGAATTTAAAAGTTTATACAATATGGCAATCACACATAATACAATAAACAAAAAAATGTGATCAACTAGTGTATTTAGTTAGAAAACAGAAAAACTCTATGCCCCACTACAAACAATGCATGCAACTTATTCCAACTAAAACAAACATAAAGGTCAGTGAAAAAATGTTAGCACAGTCATGATACAGTCAATCAATCACTCACCTATTTGTTTTCTCCAATTTGTTCTTTTAAAATAAACAGGTCTAAAGTTTCTTCAGAAAATGCACACTTTGAAAGCACCAATTCTTACTGATTTGGAAAAGGCTGCGTCACCCAAGCAGGCCCAGCCAGAGGCACTCTTCAATGACTGTCCAGTGGTCTGGGACCCCAAGTACATGGTATATTTAGAAGCCACAGGCTGGCTGGCCCCTGAGCTGTGGGTAATTTGAGATGAGGAGGCACACAGCCAGGCAAGGGCAGCGGTGAGCGCTCTCTGTCGCAGGCCCTCCAGAAGCCCAGAGGACCTTTGAACGTCTCAGGCTGCCAAGTTAGGCTAGTCACCAGGGAAGGACTTGGCAGATGCTATTTTGGACTCACTTTCTTTTAAGTCACAACTTAAAAATTCTAGTTACTACACAAAGGAAGCTAATACCCAGGTATCTCTGCAGCTTTGGATACAATCACACACTCTACCGAAGGCACCCGGCTGGGCACAGTCGGGGATGCCCCCTGCCCGCAGCCTGCAGTCTAGCTGGGGAGATTGCAGACACTCACTGACACAGTGATGCAAGGCAGAGTCGCATGGTCACAAGAACTCTGGCACATGGACGTTTCCTGGAAAAGGCTTATATGCAGTAGACTTTGATGGGCAGATGGAGAGTGACCTAGAAATTGGAGCTGGAATGACAAAAGACAGGTGGAAATCATTTCTACTCATCATGAGGGGAAATTTATGACATTGTATCAGTATTATTTATTGACCCAAAAACTAAGTTTTATTCTAATATAGTAATGTTTCATCTATAGATTGCTTTGCCCTCCCATAGACTCCACCAACTCTGGCTAACCCGTTATGCTGAGTGGTAACCATTTCAGTTGCTGTTTCAGTTTGTTTGGTGGTTACTGGTTTTGCCAGCTTTGTATTCTTTCTTGACACAATTTTGGTAATACATATGTTGATATAAAATTATTCATGTCAGCGACCTTTTCAAATGTATTTAAAACACTCATTGTATTATGACATTATGGTTCTTTTAAACTGTTTCTCCAGACTGCATGAGCCCACTGATATGCGGGATCTAAAAAACTCAAATATGTGAGAAACAGAGAGCAGAAGCATCATTACAGAGGCGGTGGGGGTTGGGGGAACGGGGAGACACTGGCCAAAGGGTGCAAAGTGGTAATTACGTAGGAGGATGGGTGGAGACCTAACGTGCAGCACGCAGACTGCAGTTAATACCACTGTGTTGAATGGTGGAACTTTGCCAAGAGAGTAGATTTCAGGTGCTCTTACCACACAAAAAATAAAAGTAAAAAATAAAATAACTGTTTGAAACGGTATGTGAATTTGCTGAAGTGTGGTAATCATTCCACCATGTATAGGTATATCAAAACACCACGCTTTATACCTTAAATATATACAATTAAAAATCCAAAAACCAGACAAATAAATAAATATTTACTCTATTTGGTTATCATTCCTTTATGTTGCTAGTATCATTTGCTTCTGCCTCTTCTCTCTCTCCCTTTTTTAAAAATTAGTTTTGCTACAGGTTTCTCTGTTAAAGTAGGTTTTTCAAAGAACTGTTTGAGCCTTTCTTTTGTTTCTTAGTTTTGTATTTATTTTCTGTCTTTTTTTTATCCTTCTTCCTCTGACTTACTTCAGAATTATTCTTATTGCCATTTATTTCAAAATATTTTGTAACTGCCATTAGGACATTTCTTGAAAGTTCGAATTATTTAGGAATGCTTTCTTTTCTCCAGAAGTATAAAATTTTGAAAGCTATCGTTTAATTAATGATCTCTAAATCCACTGCATTGTCTTGAGAGAATGGCTGATATTTATTCATTCTTTGAAATAGTTCATGGAAATGGTTTTCTGTGCATTTGGGAATAATAAATATTTTACAAGTGTCCACTTGATTGTATTACTTGATTTCGTTAAATAAATACTCCATATACTCACCCATGTGTTACCGCTTGATCTACAGTTTCTGGTATAGTTACATCATCTGATTCTATCAATTTTTGTTTTATATATTTTGAAGCTTTGGGATAGATGCACAAAAAATCATAATTATAGTATCTGCTGAGTGGATCTTTGCTTTTGTGTTTCCCCAGCACTAATGGAGGAGGGACGTGCACTGTCCCTTGAAGGGAGGGGTACTGTCCAGTTGCTGGACAGTAACTTAATCTACCACCCTCCTTCCCTCGTCCTCTACTTCTGGGTCTCCCATCAGACAGACACTGCGGTCTTCCTACATAATGTTCATGTCTCAACCACATATATATGTATGTGAATTTTAAAACTTTAATATAAATTTAGATAGATAGAGTTAAATTTTATTTATACTGCATTCTGAATGAATACCACAGCATGTCTTCCAATTTAGTACTTCTTCCTTTAACAACGCTCAACCTAAAGTTTATCCTGTGTACTGTTTTTATTTAGTTCAGTGGCTTTTCTTTCAGTGTCTCTCATTAGTTTTTCTCTACATTCAACTATTCTAATTTTATAGCTTTATTTCTGCCTTTCCCCCATAATTCTTTTATTCTCTGGTCACCCTTAACATGATTATTACCAAGTCTTGGTTGAACTCCATAAAATTAACTTAATCTCATATGCATTCTGTCACAACTGTGGATCTGTTGGCTTTCTTAGCGTTAGATTTCTTCATAGGTCTCGGCCGTTGGTTTGCAGGCTCATGTTGAGTGTTCTTTCTCCTCCGCACCTCCCCTCCCACCATACCACCACCCCCCGCCCCGGCTCTGGTATCACGGTTTTCAGGTACCATTCTCATCTGACTCTAGTTTGTGAATCTTTCAATTGTAACACTAGTCGCATCTATTGAGTGATTTATTTCTTTCACATATTAGATTGTGAGCTGCTCAAAGGTAGAGACAACCCTATTCATTTCACTTTCAGCAATGCCCGCCATAAAACTTGACAGATATAGTAGTTTAGGTTCTAAAAATGTAATAAAAAATGCATTGCTTTAGTGTATAGTAATGAGGATTATATCCTTGACTAATAATTAAAATGTCATAACAGGGCTCAGATTTCTATGCCATAACTGACATAATTAGACTAATTTTTACCTGATAATTGATTCATGTTTTTTTCAATATTTAAGTACTAAGATGAATCATAATTGCATTTTCAGTAAGTCTTCTGTCCTAGAATTAAGTGGTACTAACATTTCTCCAATGATAGTAAGAAGAGCATGACTGTCCAACTCAGATCACACACAGATGATTGGCAGAAAAGACGGAGTTTTTGCTTAGACAAGTTGCAAGATGCTACCAACTAAAGCCTCCTAAAGAGTGGAGAAAGGTTTAAGAAAGAGTAAGTTCTAATTAGTCAACTGCAACCTTTCTGAAGGATGATCTATTTATCACATGTAAGATACTATTACTCTTTCTAACTCTATTGACATTGGATGCAGTAGTAAATAGGTATCAGATTGCTGTTTTTTGGAGCATGGAATTCACAGGCAAACCAATGATTAAGCTTGCTGATAGCTCACCACGGCCCCGTGTTGTCACAGACAATTGGCTAAGTGTATAGGATAAGAAGACCAATGCCTGACTGTCCTAGAAGAACTATCTAGCTCTTATTCCAGTCTGCAGTAATAAAGTGAGTATGCATGCAAGATGTCATGAATTTTAAATATGTCATAACATCCTGGCCAATAAATATGCCATATCGGACAAAGGAGTAACATAAATTAGTCACCTCTAACAACTAATGCTGCAAATGAATATGTACAGCAGGTGCTCTAAAAAGATATGGCAATCTGTGTTAAAACATTGTTTTATTTCATAATTGTTGTGGACAAAATTACCACCAATTAGTCACTGAATATCTCTGGGCCTCTGCAAGTGATATATAAAATGGAAATAAAAATATCTAACTTTATTTGAAATCCATTAAAGTTCCAAAACATAATTCAATTATTTGTTTAAATTTCATATTTCTCTGAATTGTCTATAGTCTACCAGTCAATTATCATGGTTGTGCACAACAGAAACCAATTGCATCTAGAACCAGGAAGCAATGTAATGGGAGAATAGTGGATCCATACAGATCAATAGGAAACAGAACACTGTGCTCTGCTAAGCAATATTTGCCAAACAGGATTCTAGAAGCTTCCATGGGATTGTCTGGCCAATGAATCACCTGAGCTTGGACACGAAAGGTGCTTCCCATAATACAGTGAACTAAAATTGCCACACCACAGCCACAAGTCCCAAAAGCTGGGCTCTTGTAGACAACCTCTAAAAAGTGGGCACCCCAAATCCAGTCTGCCTTCTCAGAAGCAGAGTTTATTTCCCCACTGAGAAAGTTGCTCTTACCCTGTAAGAAGGGAGAACAACAACAACACAGTAGTATGGTGTGTTGGCCGGAAAACCCCGGCCCTCATGCCTCCTAAGGGATGAGGAGAGACTGGGACTGGGCATGCCTTCTCTGACCACTGGCTCGTACGCATTCCCAATAAATCCCATGTCTTAACCCAAACTATGTGATATTAGGAACTATGTCCTGAGAGCTGTTATACTTTGGGGAGCCACCAGAAGGAGCAGGGTTAGAATAGGGCAAGAAGCAGATGCATGTGGGCAGAGAAGCAGAGGAGCACCTGCCCAAGTTGCAGCGCAGGCAGAGCATGATGGAGATCATGGGACTGAATGTGCTGGCTAACTGTAGGCCATGGGATTGCATCTAGCTGCATGGAGGTAGAAAGAGAAAATATGTATCCTTACAGCAAAAATGTTCAGGATCTACTCTCTCCTTTTCTTTTTAACATACATTGGGTATCGTCCACCGAAGTAGATAACTACATTTCTCAGCCTCCCTTGCAACTAGGAGTATGTCTGGGCCAGGGAACTGGGGCGAGGGGTGTGGTTCATCTTCGAGGTCAGCTCCTTAGGGATCAAGCCACTTGGCTTGGACTTCCTTTTTGATTATTGGCTGAAAAATGGTAATAACTAAAATCATTTTCGAAGCCCATGAGTGTAGCTGTGCCACCTCTGGGCTAGTACATAGAATAAAATGAAATTCTCTTTTTATCCGCTATATCATGTTCTTCTTGCTACAAGACTTAGCCTACACTCTGACCATTAAAATCAACTCTGACTTCCATAATGAGACATACGGAGAGTTATGTTCTCCCAAAATAGAATGGGTCTTCAGACGCGGGACTG